GAATCAACAATTATATCTTGGGAGTTAAAGATTGAAATCTATAGATAATCAAAAGCAGACTGTGAAAAAGTAAAACTCAGGCATTCATTAGATTTGATTCTAGCAGACACCAATGGTGCTAAGTCAAAATAGGATGTGATAATTTCACTTTTCTGCATCAAAGAATATCACCACTATCCCCTTTCTGTTTAATCTTTCCACAGCAAACAGATCCTTTCCAAGTGAAAAGAAATAGTGAAGAGCTAAGTGTGTCCAAGGAAAAAAGAGAATCAAAGAATCCATTAACTTTTTACACCCTACAATCAGTATGCATATTCTCCATACTGTTCTCTATATATTTCCTAAGGTGCAGACAAGGAGAATTTCTTTCTGAATCCAGGGCTTCTTTAGCTGGTGATCATTTCCTTTATTCTTGTAACTTACATGTTTGACTCTGGGGTGGTAATGTGAGGAGAAATTAGATGCTATTCACTCTTAGGAGTCCAACAGTTAACCCTTTCATTCCCAAAATCTAATCATCAATTCTTTGCACTGTCTAATGTAAATTCCTTGTAATAATATACATGAAAAAAATAGGAGTCCAACAGTTAACCCTTTCACTCCCAAAGCCTAAACATCAATCCTTTGTACTGTCTAATGTAAATTCCTTGTAATAATATACATGAAAAAAATTATGCACTTCTGATTGGCTGACAATTAGTGCATTCTCATGTAACACAAGTGCAAATTACAAATAGTATATGGGCGTTTTAAAAATTGTCTATCTTGTCTTTCTGTAATTATTTTTTCGTGTACATTATTGACAAATAATAAAATGATTTTGAATGCAATTTGGTGTAATAAGCACTTGTAAATTTTTCAAAGACTACAAATTGCAATCATCTGACAGGCTCATGCAGTTTTGTTGTCTTTGAAAAATTTACTATAGCTAACTAACACCAAATTGCATTCAAAATCATGTTATTAACTATAACTATTCTGACAATTAAATCTAATGAGTTGCTAGTACCATATCTACCCTTGTTTTTAACCAAATTTCTCAGAAAAAAGTTTTCACTACAAAAAAGACAAGTCAAATCTTTGTACAATTATTTATTAAGACAACAAGAACAAGTAATATACTATACCGTTAACACTGATATCTTTTGTTACTTAGTTATTTATAACCAATATTGAAGCTCAGCAAAAATCTACATTGTATTTACAAAAAATCTAGTCTGCTCTGCAAACTGGATAATTCTGAGCTTTTCAGAAATGGTGTAGCTTCGACATATAACCACGATAAGTTTTGTTGCCATATCAAATTCATAATTGCTTGTGATTACAATAATATGGTGTGATTGTGATGTCTATCTAGACAGCTGTTTGTTATACTCTACTAGATTTTTTTCATGGATTGAAATTGCAAATTTTTCATAGGTAGATTATTTGAATCAAGCTAAAAAAGACCAGTTCCTATGAAACTTTTGTTACTTTCTTTGTTGTGCTTTTAACATATACAAATTAGGACGCACCTGACAAATAATAGAATCCATGTATAATAAGCACTACAATGTTGGTGGTTATTTTTATAGAAATAAAGTGCGTATTATACACAGGTAAATACAGTAATCAGACCCTTGTGTTGTGAGCAGAAGGGGCAAACATTGCAAGTTGCTATAGGGAAAATATATCGCAAAAGAGTTGTTTTAACATCCAAAAAATTAAACATTTTGATGAGAGATCATCACTTTTCCACTGCTGCTTTATCAGAAATGGAATTAAGCAATGTTGATATGAGGGAAGTGGAGGTAAATATCCACCACTTTTACTGAAACTGGGGTGAATAATTGTTTTAGCATATACCACCAAAAAATTAGTTTACTTCTGGCAATATACCAAAAGAGTGGTTGGATATTAAACATTTGACTCGCAATTAGGTCTCTTTGGCTGCTCGGAAGTGAATAGCATTTGCTAATTACTTCCGAACTGACCAATCAGCTCATGCAAAAGGCATTATTTACCTGTGTGGTATATACCTAATTCTAATATTCATCAACTGCAGGGCTCCTTGTTCAACTTGGAAAGCAAAATAAAAAGGCAAAAAAAATTGTGTCTCGAAGTAAAAAATTTTAGTTTCCAGAAAGATCTCGTTGTATATTCACCGTGACAATAAGTGGAAATTCGGCTACCGCAGATTTTCCCACTTAAACTAAACTGTCTCTTACAGACTTGGGCAGTTGTGTATATTCAGTGTTCTCCCTTATTTTAAGCATGACAGGTAAAATACATTTTCAAACTGGTAAAGCAATACTTTCACATGTTGAATTTTCAAGAATTCCAAGCAATGTTAACCGGTAATAAGAGGTACTACAGGCGGTAAATGTTACCGGTTATTGCCTGAAGAGGAAAACACTGGTTAAAGTTGTATTTGTTATTAGGGTCTTAAATGGATATTTACTTACCTCCAGAAAGGACCGATTGACATACTTTAGGAAAACTGTACAAATTTCCAACCAAATTCAAGCGACTACACAAAAACGCCGCCATTTTGATTTTAAGAAGAGTGGACTAGTGAAATCGAGGCTGTTATTGCATATTCATTTTGTATCAGCGGTAGCCTTTTAAAGAGAGAAGACACCAGTCTTCCAAAACAAGACAGTGTTCCGTGTTATGTTGACGAAATGTTATAGTTGTTGTGACTGAGTTATCGCGATAACTAGACAAAAGTTTTCTTAGAAAGAGACAAGGATCATTTTTTTCCAAAAGAAAGTGGACAAGGAGGGTTGGAGAAGAAAATGAGAACGCTAAATCGAACGATTTGCTTCGTTTACGCGGCCGGAGATGCCATGTTTTTTTCATGCTGACCGTGGTCTGAAGGGTTTCGCTTTGTTAATAATTTTACTCTTGATATCCTAAAGAAACCCGCTTAGCTTGTGTACAAGGCTTGGAAACTTTTGAATTTTAGTTTATTATTTGTTTATTTTACTTCGCTGTTTTAATTTATCCATGGGAAGTTCTACTTCAAAGTTCCGCAAAGCTCTTCAACGTGGTGAAGGAGTCGAGGCTATGCACATTTACCTCAAGAACCCTGAAATTAAAAGAAATCTTGATCCGAACTGCAGCTTCGGAGTGAATCATGGCCGAAACACTGCACTGCATTATGCCGCAATGCATGCGATGAAAGCTTTTATACGCGAGTTCCTGGAGGAAAAAGCTGACCCGAACATTACGAACGCGATAGGGCAAAATGCCTTACACTGTGTTAGCTTGAGTTTCCGAGGAGTCGAATCGTCCGTCGATAAAGCGCGAGCCGACTGCATGTCGATACTTCTAGGATGGAGTTCAAATCTTCCGGAGGGAACAGGGCTTGAGATCGATGCACGCGATCAGGTAGGAAAAACAACCGTGTGTTAAATAAATGTGTAAATATTTCTGCGGAAATGTATCTAACCTCTTTCACCACTTCCATTTTACCCATGAACAATTTCGTATCATAATCTCTAAAGCAAGTATGTCTTTTGTTTTTTTTTCTTGCAGTAATGAAAAGTAAATGAAAAACCATTTCTTTCATAAAAGTACATTAATTCTTCAGTTCTGACCTAACATGTATTACTAAAAGCTGGCAACGTCTTAATTACGAGACGCGACACAATTTTAACAGATAAACGAAAATGCCATGAACCCTTAATATTGTGATTAGCATTTCTTCTCTGACTGTTTTTTTTAAAACCGTTAGAAAACCCGTTAGTTGTTTAGGCTGTTAGATAATACGAAATTTTTAATCCTATGCGAAACAGAGTACTTCGAATTCACTTCCAACTTGTTGTCGTGACAAATGAATGGAAACCGAGGCGTACAGGTGTTCTGAATGAAACTGAAAAAAAATAATAAAATAAGCAAAAGCTTGCTGTTCTTGAAAAGCTGAAATATATTTTCCCCAGAAACAATCTATTTTAAGGTACTGGAAACCTTTCTTTTTTTACTCTTGGTCTTTTGATATTAAAATGTTTTTGAAGACAGCGAAGTAAAGTAATACAAACCATTGTGGTTCATAAAACACTGCTTCCGACTGTTTTTCTCAGCGTTTCTAATTATGTCAAAAATAGGAGTGCATTCAAAGAGCTTAAGGTGGCAAATTATGATGAATGTGATAAATTATTAAACTGTACGCAAAAAAACCTTTTTGTCTGACAAATGACATGCAATTCCTTTAATATTCCAATTGTAATTTAAAATATTGCTATCACTATAATGAAAAATCGTTTTCATAATTTTTTCGTCTTCCCTCAGCAGACATGCCTTCTAGTCAAACTCAAATGTAGTTGACAAAAATCTTATTAAAATTTTGTTTTTTGTTAGAGCTGAGGTCAAGGGTTTGATTAAATGTTTTAAATAATTTGGCACCACAAACTTATATGATGAAATTTTTAATTGAAACTTAGATATTACAGACAGCTGATACTGTCTCCCACATTAAAATTATTAATTTTTTAAATTAAAAATTTATTTTAGGTTTCACATATTACAAAATATCCAGAGATGCATCGTGTCAATGTTCTGTACACATCTGCCCTAACATCTTCTTTTAATTGTTTTAGTATTACACTTATTCTTAATAATTAATATAAATGGACAATTTGATTGGTAATTGCTAAGTGTACTTAACCCTCAAACTCCCATGAGTGATCAAGACAGAATTTCTCCTTACAATTTAAATACAATGTCAAGCAGACAAGTGATGAGAATAAAGAAAAATGTCAATTGGGAGATTATTAGATGATCATGATCTAATACCAAATTCTCAGAACAAACATCATAAGAATTGTGTGGCAGACAGTAAGGAGAATTTCTAAAGAGATCTTGAGAGTGAAAGGTTTAAGTAACCATATGGACAGGGGAAGGGCTGGCAAATTGTCACTTTAATGAAACAGAAGATTCCTATACTAAGATTCCTATACTAATTATTTTAAAATTCAAATCTTGCAAGGTGGAATGGATTGCGTTATAATGTACCTATAGGAAATTTTGAATTCTCTCATAAATTCAGTACTTTTTTCCTTTTACAATGGAAGTCACTCATTTTTCTTTTTCTTTTCTTGTATACATTTTAATGTGTTTATTTCCTTATCATTTCTGTATTATTTCTGAATTCTGTCTGCAATATTGATTGTTAGCATAGTTTAACTGGTAAGTTGATAAGTGATACCCTTTGACTAACATCTCCTACCAGCAGGTCAATTAAATTTTTATGATTAATATGAGAAAAATCAAGTGTTAAGTGTAAGTTTGTAATGTGACCTTCTCACCCTGATGAATGAATGTTTTAGACTGGAAACACTCCGCTGCACTATGCTGCAAGCTCAGGACTATATCAATGTGTTCAGGTATGTACTCTGTCAAAAAAACTTTTATAAACTATCTGAGATACAAAGGGTCCTGACTGGGAAACAACCTATTGTTTATTGCACTGGTAAACGCATAGAAAATGGAAACATCTTGTGTTTTTACAACAGGTTTTATCAACATGATGCTAGTGACATTGCTGTCACCCTAGCAGTGTACAAGACACATGCCTTACATGAACTTTGTGATGGGCCTCACTCATTATGAAGTCTCTGTGGCCAAGTCCCCAATTCCTCCTGGGGACTTAGAATTTGTTCTTTGTCCTGTGCCCTCCGATATTCTTTTTACAAAATCCTGTGTTTTTTTAAGTCTATTTTATAAATTAAAGCAATAGACCCCTAGCTACTCTCTATTGGTTTCTTGGTGTTATAACCCACATGAGATGTTCAGAGAACAAGAGAAAAGTTTGTAAATCATGCGCTGAAGGACAGTAATTTCCACATTTTGATTGGAAAGTGCTATATAAAGTGCAGACTATTGCTTAAGTAATTTTTGACTTTTCTTGTAAGCCACTTCTTGGTCTTTCACCCCTGGAGTTGAATAACTCCCAAAAGTCATCAAAATTTTACTTAAATGTAGCTCTTCCACCGCAAAAAACTGGCATATTTTTCCTTTTCCTGAATAGCAAACTTGGGACTATTTAGGATACTAAGTTTAAACAACTTCAAGTGTACTCTTAACCCTTTAACTATAGAAATCTGATTGACAATTCTCCCCTCTAGCTGCTACACATTTCCATGAGAATAACTGAAAGAATTTGGTGTTAGATCAAGATAAAAACTTTTACCTGATCAGTTCAAGTATTCTCGTTATTTGTTTGTTGGACAATGTGTGGGTCTTATAGGGAGATGTTACATGTTAATCACTTGTGGGAGTTAAAGAGTTAATCTTAATCTTATTCTTTTACTCTTAAGTTGTTGGTTGCTAATGGAGCATCACTTTATGAAGAAAACAAGAATGGGGAAACTGCATGTGACTTTGCCATCAAAAGAGGATTTAACTCCATTGCAGCTTTTCTGGAATCAAGGATGGTTTTCTCTGTAAGTACAGCATATGTTATGGTTGAACCCCTAAAAACCCTTAGAGTGACCAGCATCTAATTTCTCCATACAGTTATACTGCTGAAGCATTCATTAAGGTTATGAGTATATAGTTATTGATCACCAACCAAGGAAGGTTTGATTGTTAAGCAAATTCTCCTTGTCAGTACTAAAGGAGATGTATAGAGAAGAGTATGAAGAATATAGATACTGATGTTGTGGTATAAAAGGTTAAAGGAGAAGATTTCATTGTTAGAGTAATAGTTGACTGTGTGATGTGGTTAACCCTTTAACTCCCAAGATCTTATTGTTAATTCTCCCCTCTAGCTGCTACACACATCCTTGTAAATTAGGTATTAGAATTTGGTATAAGATCAAGATAACAACTTCTACAGTTGAACCTCGATTAGTCGGACCCCGATTATCCGGACTATTCGATAATCCGGACTTTCTTCTCTGGTCCCAATTTTCCATGAATATTAATTAGTTTTGATCTTGAAAACTCAAAGTCGCAAAAAGCCCAATAATCCTTTCAAAAGACTGTTGAAATAGCGTATTATCCTATGCACTTTTCAAATTCGAAAGTGCGACAAGTCAAAGAAGTATTCTGATGCGTTCAGCTGATATATGGTTAGCTCAATTGTTTTGTTGCCAAGGGAATTTCATGCTTGATTAGTTCCTTCTGCGTGGGTTATGTAAACACACCAGCGATTGATCTTAAACTTAAATCAAAAACATGCCCACGAAGCGAAAGCTTGCCGTTCTATTGATTAAAGATAAGCAGATAATTATTTCACATTTCTATCTCATTAATATTCATATTTTCGATTATCCGGACTCTCAATTATCCGGACTATTTACCGAGGTCCCGATGAGTCCAGATAATCGAGGTTCGACTGTACCTGATAATTTTGAATATTCTCATTAGCTGTTCGCTGGATAATGTAAGGATATTATAGGAAGAAGTTTTCATGTTGATCACTTCTGGGAGTTAAAGGGCTAAGGTTTTTATCAAGGTATGAAGTAGTGGTCAGGGTTGTTGCTAAGAAATTACATTGGGCTACTGGCTGAAATTTTGAATGTGATGGCTCACAGATAGTGTTAGATTTTTAAGCATTGTAAGTGCGTAACCTCAGTATTACTAGCTTTTTCTTCTGGCAAATTTCACAAAAAGCCTGAGTGGGAGAAAGAAACATGAGACTGACTGATAAAACAGCTTGCCTGAGCTGCGTCAAAAATTATTCAGAAGTGATTGTGATTCTGCAAGAGAATTATAGATAGAAGTTGGAGAATTCTCCAATCTCCAATATCCATAAATGTGCTGGGTGATTCAACAGATGAGGATACACTACCTCCTGTTTCCATGTTTTTGGAGTCAGTGACAATTTTCTTAACAAGAAACTGCATTATAATTCATGCTCTTTACTTTTCTGAAACTTTCCAATCTTTTTTCTTTATCAGCAAGAATCTCCAAGTGCCAATGCAGTTGAGGAGCCTGTTTTTATTGACAGAGATGACCAGGTATGCATTGCATAGAATTGAATTTATTTTATCCTTCATGTGCTTATGCAATATCCTCAAATGCAGAAAAAGTTGTTTGGAAAAATGTTTTAGAAGTTTTCCTTTAAAATGGCAAGTACATGCTACAACCTCAGTTAAGTTTTGTTAATTTTGTGGTTACTAGCATTAAGGAGGATTATTTCAACAATACAATAGTTGTAACACTTAAGAATTAGATGTACCTTGTGCAGAAAAAAAATCTTTACACCATTGAGTCAGTTACTGCATTGTTCAACTCAAAGACAGATGCAAAATATTGGTTCAGAAAGATAGAAAACACAGTGATAATCCAAGAAACAACAATTAACTTGTTAACTCCCAAGATCAGATTGTTAATTCTCTCCTCCAGTTGCCACACATTTTGCTGTAACTTAGTTATGAGAATTTGGTGTCAGATCAAGACAACAACCTGTACCTGATAAAGTTGAGAATTCTCATTATCTCTTTGCTGGATAAGGAGTGGATATTATAAGGAGAAGTTATATGTTAATCACTCCTGAGAGTTAAAGGGTTAAAATTAAGCATAGAGAGGTGCAAATGATGAACTTGAAGACTTAAGGCTTGAGTTTTAGAGATTCAAAATTAATTTATTTTGATATTTGAGTGAACATGACCTCACATATTGAAGGGCTATGTTTAGAGAGTATTAAAATTTAGAACCAGGATGTAATGATGCAGTATTAAGTGATTTACCATGTTAAATCAATATGCAAATTGGCTTGTTTTCTGGATGCTAGAAGCAATACAGAGGTCTTTGTGCGCAAGATCTTCAAGAAGCAAAGGATCAGATGCTTGTAGAGACGGCAGATATGCTCAGGGTAAGCTTAATGTCCACTTAATTTTCAGAATGCTTATACACTTTTTATTTCACTTTTAAATTTTTCAGATTGGTCACAATGGCCAGTCAGAGTGATCATAAGGGATTGTAAGCAAACCATGATGGTGACGGCAATGAGGATGTGGCAAAATAAAATATAAAATGGGCAGCACTATAGCACAGCATGTGTATTTTAAACCTTTGTACACATCTGAGCTGTCTTCCTACAAAACAGCATTATGAAATGACCAAAATTTGTGTGGTATGAGAACAAAACCCTGATGGCAAATTATCTAAGTTTCCATTTGGAACTCAATGCTGCTCCTACATTTATTATTTTATTTTTGATTTGTAAATTTAATGCATGTGTTTGTGTCGTAGGTTCCATTGTTTACTGCTGAAGGTCTACTTCGGAATCACGGTTAGTCACCTAAAACGTATTTACAATAAAATTCGTTGAAGAAGTAACTTGATATGTTACTGTACTTTTAATTAATAATTGTAAATTAGTTTTCATCACACTTCATTTTTCATGGAATTTTGCTCTGTGGGGGTAAGTCAACAAGCAATACTTAATAATTGGTTTGTAATAGTTACCCAACTGTCTTGTTACTACAGAGTGGTCTAAAGAATCTCTGATTGAAGCATGGATGGAAGATCCTGTTGCAGCTTGTGAGAAAGCTGGAGTTACTCTCCCAGAGAGTGAGTTTTTAACTGTTCACACAGTATTTGTTTTGTTTTGTTTTTTTACCTTCATGTTGTTTTTGTTTTTAAGTTCCAAACTAAAAATTGAGAAAGTCAGTTAGGAAGTCTGAACTGAAAACTCAGATTTGATTTCTTTCACTCATGGTTGAAGAATTTTGACCAAATGTCAGCGCTAAATTGTTAAATTTGTTAAATTTCTAAGAAAGTTGGAAAACAGTTAGATGTTTTGAACAGGCTAAAAAATTTCCTAAAAATGTGCCTTTACAACTTTTGCGTAATGTCTCGCTTCACCTACTGTTCTGCTATTTGGCACAATTGTACTGACTGATAATTTTTTGTGATTTTCTTATACTTTTCTTGGCATATTAGCATGCACTGCCAGGGGCCTAATCAGCCTCATCAACCTGAGTTGAAGTAAAGTTACTTACTAACTTACTTAACCTTTTAACTCCTAAGATCTGATTGTTAATTCTCCCCTCTAGCTGCCCTATCTTTCCTTGTAAACTAGTTATGAGAATTTAGAGTTAGATCAAGACATTCTATTGGACAATTTTGATTATTCTCCTTTACTGTTTGATGGATAATGTATGGATGCTTTAGGGAGAAATTACTTGTTAATCACTTCTGGGAGTTAAAAGGTTAAATGCATCCTAACTTGATGAAATGTCTTGATTTCTTTCATTGCAATATCCTTAGAACTAACAGTTTTCTATATTTTCATCCACTAGATCACACCACAGGCAATGTAGAACTTGAAGAGAAAACTAAACTTGCAATAAAAAGCAACTATGGAGCATCTGTAAGTATTTGGTTAAAGAAAGCTTTGTCACTCCTAGTGGTAAATGACATGAAAACTTATTGGAAAGCAATTGATTACTATACACTTCATTATTTATATTAATGTTCTCCATACTGTTCCCTCAATATTTCCTTTAGGACTGATAAGCAGAATTTTTTTTTTTTAAATTGGGCAGTTTAGGAATTTCTGAAGATTTTCTTTAGATTTATGACCTTTTTATTTGACAGTTTGAAAGGGGTGGGGAGGGTGTTAATGTAAGGAGAAATGAGAAGCCAATCACTCTCAAGTGTAAGGGTGAAATGGTGTGATAAGTACACTAGGTAGCTGGTAGCTGTTGACAAGCCTTCCTGTGGTTTTGGTATATCTTTTAACATCTTGGTCCTCATCTATTTTACTTGCAGGAAGTTTGTTCTATCTGCGAAGATCAAATAGTGTATGAAGATGTTCCTCTGTCTCTTTCTTGTAATCATGAGTTCTGTCGTTCTTGCTGGGAAAGGTAAATTTAAGAGCTTGGTATATTGAGTATTTAAGAATTATTCACCTATGTGGGGATAAATATCTGCCACTTTCAGTTGCACTGAGGTTAATAATTGTTTTTAGTATATAACACACAGAAAGCGAAAGATTATTTTATTTCAGTCTGCCATTACTTTGAAAATGGTCAGAAGTTAAACTCCTAATGCACAATTTTGTCTCTTTGGCTGGTTGAAGGTGAATAGCACTTCCTAATCACTTCCAAACTGGCCAATCATAGCACGCAAATAGCACTATTTACTTATTATGTGGTACACACTAACTGATGATGTTGTTGTATTGTGTAGGGGGCTAAGTGATTAGTGCCAGACTCTGGGTCAAGAGGTCTGGGTCCTAGTCATGGTTGGGTCATGTGACATGTTCATGGGCAAGACAACTTACTCTTAAAGTGCATATCTCTGTCTAGAAGGACAGAGGGGCACTAAAGAACTCTTTGAAATCCTGCAAAATGCTAGGGGTTAGCTGCCACAACCTAAAGCCCTATTCAGTAAGAGTAGTCTTACTCCTACTGGTTTTGTGGGATCTGGGGATGAGAAAAAATTGGTTATGGGCTATGTGGCCTGTAAGACTTTATTGTATGTAGTTACCTGTTAGTTGCAAGGCGAGTGTCTGTCTGGATTCTCGATTATGGAGGTAGCATGGCCGAGTGGTGTGGGTGCTGGACTTATAATCTGGTGGTCCTGGGCCCAAGTCCTCCACCTTGCCATTCACTGGATTTGTTCTCAGTCGCTGTGCTGTGCTGTGTAAATAGCCAATAGGTCTGCCTCCAGTCAGTTTGGAATTTTCAAGTGCTTTGTGTTATTTCAGTCATTGTCAAGTTGGATAGCAATTGAAACAGCACTATATAAATAAAGCATTGTTAATATTAATTCATTGTCACTCTCTGATCCATGTTTACTCAGTTATCTGAATATGAAGATCAAAGAAGGCAAGGCTCATAACATACAGTGTCCTGCATTTGATTGCAGTGCTCTTGTCCCTATGGTAAGTAAGCTTTAAACACTTAACACCTTGAGACTCTCTGAAAATGAACAAAGAAACATCTTACATGCTTGGATGAAGACACTTCCTGAGCAAAAGTTTCTCTAGATTTATTTCCTAGAAGCTCAAAGTTAATGGTAGGTATGAAATTTTCCACTCCAAATATTATGACTAATTCACTCAAACTCCAGTTATTAGCTCACCTTGTGAGGTAATGCATTTTGCTAATGGTTGCAGAGCTCAAAATGCTCCAAGTATTTAGAAAAAACTAAGATTAATAATGATGATATTGTTTAGCATTTAAAATGGCAATGAATTTTATATTCAATATGTAGTACACAGTCACTATAAGTATTATTATTTGTGTCTACTTTAGACACTGCTTCTTCAACAAATGCCTTCTCCATCTTGTTGTTAACTCATCTGGTCTATGTTCAATGTTTTTTTTCTTCCAGGAAACTATTGAAAGTCTTGTATCAAGAGAAATGGCAAGAAGATATCTTCAGTTTGATATAAAGGTAAGGACTTTAGAAACTGGCCAGTCATCTCAAAAGGATCCTAGGCAACCATACCCCTGTTTTTTATTACTGATATAGGAAAGCATGAAAATCCTCTGATGATGAATGACACAAATCAGTTTAAAATGTGAGTCAAAACAAAGCAATGATGAGGTTAAAAGGCAAATGCAATGATGAAAATTAAAATAGAAGATAAGGTGGACAGCTGAAGATTAAGAACCACTGGTAATAAAGTCCAAACATTCTGGCTATAAATAAGGTAGAGTCCTGGTAAAGCAGGGGTTTCCATAAAAGGTTGGTATCATTGTTAGTCTTCTTCCTATAAAACCTCTCACTGCTGTCTGTTTAGCCTGCAAGCAGGCTCAAGATTGTGTTAGGGTTTTACCCAACCACCCCTTTTCTGGGAACACCCGATTATGGAAAAAGTTATTTAAACCACTGGGTAAAGGCACTTAGTTCATCAGATTGTGGTCACAAAGTACTCATGGTAAGGAAGGTGTCACTTAAACTCATGGTGGATGTTAAGAAAGAGTTGATTGTATGTTACAAAGTTTTCCACTTACGCAAGTGTTTGTAAAGAAAAAGCCTTATCTTCTTACAAATATTTTTCAGGCTTTTGTAGAGAGTAATCCCACTTTGAAATGGTGTCCGTCACCTGGATGTGGCCGAGCAGTGAGGCTGCCATCGAACATGCTACCCTCACTGAATGTTTCTGTAGAAGCAAGCTCTTTAGGGGAGACAGAGCCAATGACTGTAGATTGTGGCAGTGGTCATTTCTTTTGTTGGTGAGTACACAGTAGGTAGATCATAGTAAGCAGAGGTGATTGGTTCATAATGCCAACAGATTTCTTGGTTATTGGGTTTTATTATTTGTTTTGGACCTCACAATGCACAACTTTTAAACACACGGTTTGCATGCGACAGGTTTCACTGTCAGGAATTATAATTTTTGTCAGCACTGCATACACACTAAAATGATGAAGAGGGTTGTGTGCCAAAGTCTCTAAAATTTCTTTTTTGTCATAGAT